ATTGTAGTCTAGGCTAGATAGGATCTGCCATTCGTAGTCTGGGCGCGGAGCGCCAGATAGGATACCGACATTGGTTCTTTGTTGATGATGATGAGAATATTCCAGCATTGTCAATTATGAGCTTTTGTTGTGTTCTTATTTGGTGAAACTCGTGATGCACTTCTGCTTTTGGTTCGAGGTCACGACTATCTGGTCTCATGTGTATGATGTTGTTTGATTTTTGAAGTTCGCTATCGCTCATCTTCCTTGCAATTTGGTATCAGAGTTGTGGTTCGGTGCGCTAATCTAGCGTTTATCTTCTGCCCAATGCGGTACATGCACGCGGTGTGTGAGGTGAGCGACCGTGTCGTGGGACGTGTGTAGTGAGGAGGGCGAAGATAAGTTGGTGACCCAGGTGGAGAGGGGATCACATGGAAGGCTATGTGGTGTGATATTGGGTGTTCGCAGTGTGATGAGAACTATCCGATGTGTGATTGATGCTGAGGTGGAACGACTTTGCAATGCTGGTTGTGCCGAAGCAGCGATTGGTCATCACAATCAACATCGGGTCATCTGGTGAGAATATCTGTGGTTGGGGGCAGCTATTTTGAGGTACGTTGCACCTAATCTTATCTACTCTCTTTGACACTTCTTGCCGTGAGGATGTGTGTTTTGTCTTGAGAGTCCTCTCATGTGAGGAGTCGTGTGCGCTCAACCTTGAGAATCGTCAGCCTTCACGTGGAGCATCTCGAAGGAGAGGGCGGTGCTATCTGAAGGGCCCCGGACGAAGCACTGGGTCACGGTCACCATGCCAACCCATCGGGAGTAGAGCATGCATGCTTTGCTGCTTGTCCTTTGTTCGGCTCGCTGCGCTGTTAGATGGGTTATAAAGGGCAGGCCAGCCCTATGTGGGAGACGAGAACCGGGCGTCTATAAATAAACACCGGCAGGGGAAACTATTGGTTGTGATCGTCATCCTGTTTGCGACGTTAAATAATTCCTGAGGACACTTGGGGGCTGTCCTTAAATATCCTCTTGATCAGCCAATCGGTGTAAGGCTCGCTGCACACGAGGATAAACAATGTGCTAGAGCTGGCCAGCTCAGCAGAACTCGGGGCACAGGGGTGGGCCGTGTGCACACCTTTAGACACGCACGCTATCTGGATTGCTCAGGGACGTTGTCGACAAGAGACATTCAAGAAGAACTGGGGGAGGGGTAGATTCCAGGTGATAAGTTTGGGAAAGATTCCATTCTGCGAATAGACCCAACAAACGATTCTATTTTTATTTTTGATTAGTTATATGTATAGCCATTAACAGCTGACAGACAACATTAGTTAGAACTGTTTTCTGTTCCTTGTGCTTTCCGTTTGCGGACTAATCAAAGTAAAATAGTTCTCGTTTGTAGGAATCTGAACTTACCTGTTGGACCCAAATGTTCAGTCTCTGACATAGCCACTGATTACTTAATCGGTCTGTATAGCATATTGCGGTAAGCATCAAGAGTGTCCTAGTGCAAACACCGTGCAGTATTGTAGTCTATGAGCGACAGGGAGGTCTCACAACCGGACGATAGGCTTTTGCGATCGGCAAGACGCCCTATAGCCCACTTGGCATTAGGACCAGAGGGAGATAAATTTTTGTTCCGTCAGCTTAGGGAGAGACAGCAGCAGCAGCGGAGATCTAGGGCAGCAGAGGCCAGCAGAGCATTTGCAAGCGAAGCTGCTGTTTCAGCAGCCATGGCAACTGCTGCGCAGCAAAGTTCCCAGGCCGGCAGTTGGGGTCTGTAGGGTCCACGGTTGCACAAACCCAGAGTCAGTCCACTGGCTTCATGGCAAGCCAGCCATTAGTGATGACTCCTGAGGAGGTCGCCATACAACGAGCTGCTGATCGCGAGGCACAACTACAGCAGGCTTTGGGTGAGATTAAGGCAAAGAAAGAGACAATGATTAGAAGAAGAGCCAGGATGCAACGGAGGCAAGTGGACATTACTGAGTTAGAGGAGATCGACCCAGCAGAGATGGAGGATGATGTGAGGACCATACGGTCGGTCTTGTTAAGTGTAGTAGAGATGCAAGATCACCAGATGGAGATCTTACAGGACATCCAACAAAGTCTAGTTGTGTTAGTCGGGCGAGTGCAGGCGGCACCATCACCGTCTGGGCCCGGTGCCTGGCGCGTTGTACATCCTCCTCCTTTTGTCCCACCAATGACTGGGGTTTCCCCACATACAGCTCCAACATCGGTCCAAACCGTTTCCCTGGGTATGCCGTTAGCAAGAGGGTTCTCAGCAGGTCCTAGTGTGCAGATTCTTGTATAGACAATGTTTTCCCAACCTCCGTCGCAAGTTGCCGTGAGCGGGCAGCCTGCTGTCTCGGAGCCTACACAGCCGCAGGGTACACAGCCCCAGCAGTCAGTGCAGCAGCCTGCACCACAGGATCCACGGCCCGGAGTGATGCAGGGATCGGGACAAAGTCAGTGGGTACCAAAGACGGCCATCGCCGCTCCTAAACCCTTCACAAGGGATAAGAGAGGCGAAGACCTCGACACTTGGTTGAGGGCAGTACCGGTCTATGTCAAGTGCAAACTTACCTTGCCGCACAAGGAAGTGCTTGTAGCTGCCTCCTATTTAGAGGGGAGTGCAGCACGATGGTTGAGTGGTTTAGTGCAGCTACAGGGGTACGGTCATGACTTTCACGCTTGGGCGGTTACCCAAAAATTGGATGACTTGCTCAAGTTGGTGGAAGACAGGTGGCATGATCCGCAGGAGGCCCAAAAGGATACTGACGCGATCCTGACACTGTACACGAGGCAGTTTAAGTCAGTAAGGGAGGCCACTGACGCTGTAGAGCGTCTGATCTGTGTCCCTTGGGTGCGCTATGACCCCCAGGTCCTACTCACCTCCTACCTGAGATGCTTTCCCATGCCTCTCAGCAATCAGTTGGCAGGTGAGGCCAACATCAATATGCACAACTTTCCTTCATTTAGCAAGGAGGCCCTAGACCTTGAGGCAAAGATAGGGCATGGACAGACACCGATTACGGATGGTAGGAGAAAGTCAATGCCTCCCAACTGGAAGGCGAAGGGTCGCATTATGTCTGTCGATAATGATGGTTCAACCATCGAGTTAGATGACAACTTCCAGGAGGGAGTAGGTTCAGAGGCTGGCAGCGTAGAGGCTTCAGGGGTGGAGTAGTCGTTGCCGTAGCTCAAAAAGGAAAGGCGACCGGTAGACGCCGTGGAGGTTCCCGGTCGAGGAGTCAAGTTGACCCCAATGAATAAACGTTTGTGTGTTCCTAATAAAAAGTCTTTGCGTAGTTTATTTTTAGGTGAAAGTCACGATGCCAGAGACAGCGAAGACCGAGTACGTCATTAGGCTGGTTAAGGAGAACTGGGTCAAAGATTTTGGCTTGCCAAAGTCTATTGTGAGCGACCGGGATGTTAGATTCACGAGTGAGATGTGGAAGGCCGCAGCTGCAGAACAAGGAACGCAGCTGCAAATGACATCTGGGAACCATCCACAGGCAAACGGGCAGGCAGAGCAAGTGAACCGCACCATTCAACACTTGCTCGGGCACTACATTAAGCCTAATCAAGTGGACTGGGATGAGAAGCTTGCTCTCATCGCCAGCCTGTATAACAATGTTGTTCATAGTGCCACAGGAGTAAGTCTTAACAGCTTGCTTCTAACATTCAAACCCAGACTTCCCCTTGACTTTCTGCTACCTGAGAACCAGACCGCTGCTAGTCCAGGCACTTTGGAATTCGCCTACAGATATGAGAGGCATATGCAGCGGGCAGTAGAACACATGCACAAAGTGCAGGCGGCGATGATGGAATCTGAGAACAAGCACTGCCGCCCATCTTCATTTCAGGTAGGAGACAGGGTTTGGGTCAAGTCCTCTGAACTCAGCCAGGAGCACGGGATTTCCCACAAGCTCATGCCACAGTACTTTGGACCATGGGAAGTTTTGGATGTAGTTGGTGATGAGCCAGACGGACCCTCATATGTCATCCGGATCCCTGGACACCTTCGCACTTAGCCTCTTTTTCACGCTTCTAAGCTTGCACCTTTCAAAGAAACTGGCCAGTTCCCTTCGCGACGCTCAATGCTGCCCCCAACCATGGATGGAGAGGTCGACATTGATGAAATCATGGATCACAGAGAGATGCCAGTTCCAAGACCGACCAACAGGGGACGTCCTCCAAAACCGAAGCTGCAGTACCTAGTTCGGTTCAGACATCACACTGATCCAAAGGAGGATAGGTGGTTCACAAGGGAGGAACTGATGCAAACTGCTCCACAGGTTGTCACTCACTATGAGAAGTCTCTGCAGAAAGGAAAGCGTTAGATTATCGAAGATTGAATGAACTTCTCAGAGGACTAGCGAAGCATGAAGGAGGGAATTTGAGGCACAAGGCCTCGATAAGCCCTACAGGGCCCCTATTTGCAACAGCGTCGGCCGCCCTAAGTGAAGGCAGGCTCGACAGACCCCAAGAGGCCTACTATGGACTACTACGCAACTGGGGAAATTCAGGCAGTTGCGCAGCGCCAGTCGGTTGGAAGCACCCAGCCCTAGGCTGCCTTTCATTGCATGTAATTGAGGCAAGGCCTAGGCCGGATACACAAAGTGGGCCAAACAAAGGCTAAGGGCAGTTGGGTGTTGCTAACCGCCTCAGGCCCTGTGCCTGTTTCCTTCGGTCTGAGGCTCAGCCTCCCTGGGCCTACCGGAAACTTCTGGGTCGGGGTCCAGTACCGCAGCACAACACGCAGCAGCAGGCCACTTGGATATAGGGAAGGGCCTGCCCACGCATTGGACATTCGGGCACTGGCTGCTTTGTGCGCAAGCGCTGCTGCGCTATCGCCTGCCAGGCTCACACGCTCACGGGCGAGCTGGAAGGAGCAGGCAGCCATAGTCGAGCTGCGCTGCTGTATGCTGGATGGGGCGCATGGTGGTCCTTGGGTGCAAGTGGCATCTGTGAGTTGGGGAACGAGGTTGTGAGTGATATGAGAGACATACCTGGTGCTTGAAGCGTGCGGCATTGTCCAAGATCTGCTCGTACTTCGGGGAGTTGTTGACGTCATCATCGACATTGTAGTCTAGGCTAGATAGGATCTGCCATTCGTAGTCTGGGTGCCGAGCGCCAGATAGGATACCGACATTGGTTCTTCGTTGATGATGATGAGAATATTCCAGCATTGTCAATTATGAGCTTTTGCTGTGTTCTTATTTGGCGAAACTCATGATGCAATTCTGCTTTTGGTTCGAGCCCACGACTATCTGGTCTCATGTGTATGATGCTGTTTGATTTCTGAAGTTTGTTATCGCTCATTTTCCTTGCACTCCTCTCTCTCTCTCTCTCTCTCTCTCTCTCTCTCTCTCTCTCTCTCTCTCTCTCTCTCTCTCTCTCTCTCTCTCTCTCTC